GTGAATAACTCTGTATGGTCTGCTTTTCAAAATATGATTTCGTGGTCACCCATTGCACTGTCTCCAGTGGTGACGTTCCTCCGGACTCTCCACTGCATTGTCACCTTCCTTTCTTTGAGTGGAGTATGGGAGTTCTCACCACTTTCCAGTTCCAAGCCACTGGGGTGGTTGATCAAGGAGGCACCTTGTCAAATACTTTTTGAAAATCCGGACACACCAAATTTACACTTATGCGCTCATCTACACAAACAGTAACCTTTTCAAAGAGTAGTAAGGCAAGATTTCCCCTAGTAAAATCTTGTTGACTATCCAGAAAAATTTTAGACTTTGATCAAGTTAATTTAATTTAACAGTGATCTTGCTAGCTTTGATTGTGGCCAGGAGATTCTATATAGATCAGTGAGATTAAACTGTACATTGAGATCTATGTTGTGTGAAGAAAGTTAGGTGAATGAATTTGAGATTCATTTGTTGAGTGAAAGAATTCTATGTAATGGATTGTGTGTATTTAAGTAGGAGAGGGGTTGGTGAAGTTTTTTTTTTATCAAATGTTAATAATATTCAGGAGAGTTTAAAGTTTGTCAGAGAGTGGTTAGGAAATAAATGTTGGTTGGAGTACATGAAAGGTGCTGCCAATATAGTCAGTGAAAATTGTGTGAGGGTGGTTGAGTGATACTGAGGATAAGGCTGATAGGAATAAGTGTAGTTGAGCAGAATTAATTTAAATAATCCTTGCATTATGTGTATAGTCTTAAGGTAGCACTGACCCTTAAAACTGGGCAAATTTACATGTTGAGGAAACACTGGTAAACTCTTCTTATAACCTTCAAGTTGAGCACAAAACAAAAGTATGATTTTGCAATATTTGAAAGTACACTTTCAGTTATATATATATATATGTAATATGCATAATTAATGCAGCAGTGATAAAGAAATACATAACTTAAACTGTTTTAACACCATAACTTAGGAATGATAAAAATGTGTGAAAATTTATGCACATGGTCTTTGTGAACCTCCTCATAGCTTGAATTAAAAACTTTGCGAATTTTCTGCAATGTTAATGAGCTATGGAGAATTAATTTTAATTAATGCCTTTGTTAGTGGTAATCAGACTCATAAAAAGAAATTGGTAAAGATTCAAGCTATGGAAGATTGTAATATCAACAAGTGTGCTAAATTTCATGCTGTTATTGTCTTTAATGGTGAAGTTATCATGCTAATAAATTGGTGACCCCAGCGATAAGTTAGCATGTATATTCAGATTGTGATTAAAAGAAGCAAAAAGGACTAATTTCAAACGTATGTCCAAATGGTTTATGAATGAAATAACAGGAAAAGTAAGGAAAATCATCATAAACTTTAAATATTTAAATTGACTGCTACAACAGAAGATTTATAGTCCTGTAGTGTGAGAGAAAAATTACTTTCAATAACATGCAGTGATGGATACAAAAAAAAAGTAAAGTACTTAAATCTGAGGTAAGGCTCATTATCCTTAAGCTTCTTGTTGTTATTATAGTGTTTTTGAAGGAGAATTATCAGAAGTTATCCCAGTAATCCATACTTCTGTTGCTGGATGTCGAATAATAGGAAGACTGTGTGTTGGTGAGTATTTCAAGTCATGCTAACTATTAAAATGTTAAATCTTTCTACATCAGTTTTATTTTATTAAGAAATTGCTTTGTTATTCTTATTGAAAACAACTATAATGATGTTTTGCATTCATGATATAGGACATAAAGCACGTCTAATAAGTTATTAAAGTCATCTTTGACTAGATGTTTTTCTTTATATTTCTTTAAAGTAGTATTTTATAGACTTTGATTAGCATGCTTTTTGTTTAAAATCATGTAGAATTAATTAAAAAGGAATGTGAAGAAATACGTCTGTAATGAGATGCAATTTAATTTGCTCTTTTTAAGCCCAGTAAATAATCTTCCACCAATTTTTATTGGATTTTTGCTGTTACTTATAATTTCTAAAAAAAATCCTAGCTTTAACTGTAAAAGTGGTCATAATGTGGTGTTACAAAATGATCAAAACCAAGTCTGTTTATGATGGAGGTACACGTACATTAGGAATGATAAAGAGTTTGAAATTAAAAAATTATTCATATTGATATATTCTGAATGTACATCTGTACATTTAAGCAATAAATCAGATTTTTTAAAACATTTTGTTTTAGCCCAATTGACATGATTTACTGCAATATCTAGTGGGTACAAAGCTACTATATCATTCCTATTCTCAGAAGTTAAATACTCATTATAATTTGTATTTTAACTAGCAAACAGACATGGACTACTCATCCCTAATTCAGCCACAGACCAGGAACTGCAACACATTAGAAACTCACTGCCTGACACTGTAAAAATACAAAGAGTTGAAGAAAGGCTTTCAGCTTTAGGAAACGTTATTGCTTGCAATGATTATGTAGCCCTTACTCATCCTGATCTAGATAGGGTAAGTTTGCTGAATAAAGCTCCTAGAACTTCTTTATGTAAACTGTGTGGCATAACAGGATAAAGAAGAATCATCTGTGTGTGGTAAGACTTTGTAAAGAATGTACAACAAAATATACTGTCCTAGTGATGTAGATGGTGTAAATCATGTCTTTTTTTCTGTTTCTTTGTGTGGTAAGACTTTGTAAAGAATGTACAACAAAATATACTGTCCAAGTGATGTAGATGGTGTAAATCGTGTCTTTTTTTCTGTTTCTTTTTAATTATTATTCACTACTATGTTTATAGATAAACAACCTTCCCACTGCCAGATTTATTTATAGATAACTATAACCAACAAAAAGACACCTTTTAATATTTCATTACTTATTTGAAACATGAAACTGGTAAAGTTTGGGAATATTCAAGAGGAATACCCTTTCTCTATGGAGATGAAAATTATGAATTTGCATAGCAGTGAAAGTTACAGGTACATTGCTCTTCTTTATGATGTAAAAATATTAAGGAACTGGGAATTGATTTCTGAATGAGCAGTACATATTTGTACTTTGTTTGCATTAACCCAATGGAAATGGGGCAGTATCCAATGAGCATAGCTCATATAGAGAATGATAGACAGTGCAACAATATTTATAACTCTGAGCTTTTTAATGTATCTTCACAACAATTGGTAAGATTTTGTTAAAGATTACAAAAATTTTGTATACAAAGAATGAAATTATTTTAATTAAAGATTTGTTAATTTTGTATTCTAGCTATTTGCACTCAGACTCTGAATATTTCAAGTATTATCACCATCGTATTGTGCAGTGAAATGTTTAAAATCAAAATTATAAAAAATGTACGTACCTTTTAATTTTTTGTCAAATAATCTTGAAAAGCTTCTTTTAGTTAATTGTAAGTTGTTACTTTTTCACATATAGTTAATTTTTTGATGTTTTATTTTCTTTTCCTATCCTTTAACATTATTACTTATCGTGACACACATTAACGGATGTTTTCGGGGGTTTCCTTGGCAGCGACACTTTAGCCATTGTCAGAATGTTGGGACATTTGCCTACTACACTAAGCCTGATAAGCAGAGGCAGTTTGGCTTATATTTTTAAACAATTATTAAACCTTTCTAATGTGCATTTTAAAACATAACTAATGCATAATTAACTAAAATATAAAACTAAAACCTAAATCTAATTTAATTGTATATCTAACTAACAAAAGCAAAAACTGTGCTCAGACTTTGACAAGTTCTCCATGAATTCTTCATGCCAATTTTAAACTAACTGTTGGGAGACAGTATTTCGATATGTGGTCTTTCTATTGGTTACAAACATCTAGTTCAACAAAGTGTAATTGGCTGAGAAATTGCAATGCTATGTGTAGAAAGTGAGCATGGCATCTGTCAAGTCATATGAAATTTATGTTTATTTTCTCCCAACATTCCCAAAGGAGCTTGAAAGAAGAACATGTAAACAGAGCAATTAATCTATATTATTTCTATATATGGAAGGTTTGGTATAGTGTACTCATTTTCAAGTTACAAAAGCTAAATGTTTTAAGTTTGTGAAGTGCATCAAACTGAAGTTTAATCATTTTTCTTTAAGGTTTAAATAAAGGAATTAAAACTTTGAACTGTGATGTAAATTTTAATGCTAATTTCATTGGTATACATTAATAGTAAGATTCCTTAATTAAGTTATGAATGTAATGAAGTAAAATCTTGTGATGTATGCCTGAATCATAGGGTTAAACAGTGCCTATAATAAATGGAGTTAATTTTAGATACATTTCTTCAGGATGTGAAAAATGTTCTTAAACATGCAACTTATCTGGATGATTAGCTTGTATACATTTTGTATACGTAAAATAATCTCAAGAATAAATGGAGTTAACATGCAATAAAGTGGATTTTCATATTACAAAAAATACATAAATAATACACTGCTAGATGTTGACATAAGGTATTTTAACTAATCAAATACTGTTATTAAAAACTGACATAATTTTGTTTTACAAAGGAATGAAAAATTTATCATAATTCATAATATTCAACTTTGAAAACTTTAATCTTCATGTGTACACAGAAAATTTATTTTTAAATTTTAAAACAAAAGTAATTTTCATGCATTTAAAGCACTATGTGTCCTTACTACTAAACACAAATTAATAATTTAATTATTCATAGAACTTAATAATAACTATGCGAGTCATCAATACTTATAGCTGACAATTAATTTACAGTGGTTTCTATGTCAAAAAATACAAAGAGGTGTAAAAATATGTATACTTTTAAGTTGCTTTTCTTTGACAGCAGGTAAAATAATTAACTGGTTACTTGCACAAAAACTTAAAGAATTAAAATAATAGTCTGAAGTGATTTGTGATATTGTGTCTAGAATTATGAAAATCACTCTAAATATGTACAGAGAAACATATATTTAATTTTAAAGAAGGTAAAAAAAAAGAACTTAGTTGTTTTAATTTCCAGGAAACTGAAGAAATCTTAGAAGATGTCCTGCGAGTGGAAGTCTTTCGTCAGACTGTTGCAGATAATGTCTTGGTCGGGAGTTATTGTGCTCTTAGTAACCAAGGTGGTTTAGTAAGTAGAAACTTTTTCACAAATTGTTGTAGATAACGTCCTGGTCGAGATTAAAGAATTAAGTCATAATACTTCTTGTTTTGCATTTTACAGGGCATGCTGTTATATTAAAGTGTACTGAGAGGACTGTTAGTAACATTACATTTTGTAATATTTACAAGATGTATAATTAGTAATTGTTCAGTTACTAAATCTAAAAGATTACACAGATTTACCAGAGTAAGAAATTTAGTTTCCTTTGGAAACTCTACCAACATTGATTTCTTGAGATTTGTATACGTAAACAGTTTTAAAGTTTTTAATTTCTAACCCTTTGTAATTACTTACCTCTTCTCACATTTACAGCTATTTTTGACTTGACTGCTCTCTAGTGTTCAAGTTTTTGCTCGCCACTAGTCTTGAACTCCCACCTAATTACATGTATATATCACATGATTCAGCTGCATTTAAGCATGCAAATTAACATGCGACAACCCTCTACCAATAGGTGTGCAATACACCATCCTGTTGCAGCTGACTCCATCTATGCAGTTTGAACCCAGTCTTCATTTCTTGATTTGGCATGACCGTGTTAACACCTAGTACTTAATGTTTCCTTTAGTGCATTTTTGACAGTCTGTAGTTACTTTGAATTTTACATTTCAAAGTATTGTTTTTCAAATCCACATCTGAGTTGGATTTAATTTTTATTTTCAATTATCTTACTTTCTCCGTTTTATGAATTCACAATTCACTATCACACCGTCAATGGCACCGATGATACCATCGATTACCAACTCGTAATGATAGCTAAAGGGGTGGCAATATTGGCAGAAGAGATATTGGCAATAGTTCAATGGGAGATGTCCTTTTTCATGTGGGCCGAGGGGACTCCCGTCAATAGGAGATTACACCATTGCCTGAAGATTTATATCAGGATGACATAGTTTTTGGATAGCCTTTTCCTTCCCCTTTCTTTTGCTGTGCAGCCAGATTCTCAGCCTATTGAAGCAACTAGGCCTCTGTCATCATTTTTGGATTTGATTTCATAGGTGTGTTCTGTTTTGTCTTTTTCACCAGTATCATATGACCCCTCCCCTTCCTTATTAATCAATGTACCTAGTTCTGAGTCTTTTGTTTTTCCCTCCTTTGCCTGGTATTGGGATCCATGCAGTCGGGTTTGCAGAATATTTACTTGCACTCCCCATATACTACAGAAGCTCATGCACATGCTAATCATTGTTCTGCAAATCCATTTTTGGATACTCAACATTTGAATTCTCTTCTTCCCCTTTGGGGTTCTGACCCTGATACTTCAGTGCATTTTCCCAGGCACAAATGGCCTGGAATATGTTAATCGCTTACACTCTTTCATCATTTGTTCTCTATACACCTGTTATTTGAGGTTTTCCATCATTTTCCCAAGGGTTTTTCAGCAGAATCCTGTACACTCCTACTCAAGATATTGTCCAGATTATCTTTGTCTGCCTACTCCCTTCACAGTTGGTTCCTGTGCTGCTGGGATCTCTTGGGTTGGGATGCATTATTAACACATTTGCATCTTCCCCCCCACATTACTGATGAATCTTTGGGCAGCCTACAGTATTTCGTGGAATCTGCCAGATTTCACACTTCCCTATCTTCCCTTACTTCTCATTTGTTTAAACCTCCTCCTTTTTCAGTTCTTGTTTTTCTTCCTGTACCAGTTTCTCCTTCTTGAACCACATCTATACATTGTACCATTGTTCACCTACATCCTGCTAGGTATGAGCAGTAACAGTTACTACCCTATGGTTTCCATTCTGGTGTGGGCCAGACTAGCTCGTTTCTCAGGGGTGTAGGAGAACCTTACCACCGATCTTTGAATTATTTGAGTTTTATCAAAAGGACACTTACTCTTTTCCTCTCACTTCCTCCCTTATCCCCAATACCAGTTATTTTCTCCCCCCCTCAAGATCTTGTCTCTCACCAGCAACTTCTCATCAATAGTGCCATCGAATAGATTCTCCTGTTCTTCTAGGATTTTATTCCCAACTTTTTGTTTCTACCAAGAAGACTGGGGATTAGCACCCTGTTATCAATCCTTCCCATCTAAATAGCTTTATCGATGTACCATGATTAACCATGGAATTCTACCTGTCTCTCTGATGGGCTTTGGATGATGAGATTAGATGTGTCCAATCCTTATCTCTACATCCCTATTGCTCAGGCTTCACATTGTTATCAACATTTTCAGGCTGGTGTATGCATACACCTTGCAATTTCTGTTGGGTGGTCCAATTGTTTTCCTGATTCTTACATTCTTGTGTGCTCAATTTTCATCATTATATAGATGACAGGCTTCTTCTGGATCCATCTTTTGCAGAGTCTTCCACCCACACCCAACTTCTCTTCAGGGAAGCTGCACAGGTGGGTTAGAGTATCATGGTGGAGAAATCCATTGTCTTGTTCATCTGGGGGTATTTTTCAACTTGCACCTCAGTTGAGCCCAGCCTTCTTTTCTTTGTCTGTGAGCCATGGAGTTCTTAGTTTAGAGGGCACAATCAACACCTTCTCTTCCTGCTCAAGAGGTTCTATTTTGGGGACTTTGGTATCACTGGATCTCTCATCTCTCTGGACCGTGCCCATATATGTTCCTTGCAGTGGGTACTACAAGATCAATGGAACCTTTTGATTTTCAGATTTCCATTCCTGCTTCCTTTCACTCCAAATTTCTATGGGGTTAGACAGGGACAACACTACAGTGGGAGTACCTATTCCTCCTCCCCGTCTGGATATCCATGTTTTAACAGATGCCTTTTTGTTAGTACTGCAATACCCAAGAGATCTTGGGGGGAGTTAGGTCTTCACATTACCGATAATCAAAGGAACATTGGGGATGGGCAGCAATCTCTGTCTGCTTTACTCAGGTTAGTCCATGAGTGTACGATCCAGTATAAACAAAATTATGATGCAATACACTGCCAGGATGAACCTGCGAGTGGTCTTGTGGAACATCCCATCTCAACATTGAGCATGATAGATCTTATAGTTCACACGGTGCAGAATTGTAAAAAGAGTATACCTGGACAAGCACCACTTGCCACAGAGTGAGATCCATAACATGCAAAGGAGGCCCCTGAAATAAATTGTTCAGTTACGTGAAACAACAAATAAAAACAACTTATAGTCGTAACATCATGTGTAGAATGGCCACAGGAAAAAGATGATATTCAGCTAAGCAGGAAACCACAAGATGATGTAATTAATGTGACTCAAATGTGAAGGGAGAGGTCCACATGCTGATATGTAGAATCTCTTCCAGAGGATGATAGAAATGAGCAGCCAAGGACATTATGAGGTGACCAATGTCATGGGGTGAGAAACAAAACAATTGGGAAGATTCAGGAAAAAGGGAGGAATATATCAATATGAATAACCTGATAAACCTAACTGGTAAGGATGATAGGAGAAATAGTTGGATTCCAATGGATAAACAAATGGGAGCAAGAACCACAGAAGGGAGCTGTGCACGACACATAACACCTTAAAGCATAGACCAGACACAGAAAACAATCTGGATCAGAGCAGGAGTAAATGTGGGATACGAATGGAAGAAAAATAGGAGTGAAGGCAAAATTACCTTCAAGGGCAACCAACATTTTGGGAAGAAAAGAACATAGGTTTTGTGGTACAAAATGCTGTTGACATCGATGGAAATCAAGTCTGACCTGTGATGTCCACAAGCCAATAGAAGAAGGAAATACATCCTCAAAGAAAGGTGGTATAAAGAACATAATGCTAGCAGTTCGAAGGGAAAGGGCATGGAGAACTACTTTTAGATTCCAATCTGGCAAGTAAGTGGAACCACTGCTCAACGAACAGCAAGGAGTTCCAAAAGGTTGATGATTCTTTTTTTTTTCAAAATAGGGTTTCATGGTCACCCATTGCACTTTCTCTGGTGATGTGTTCCTCTGAACTCTCCAAAGCATTTCTTTCCCCCCTTCTACCAGTGGAGTATGGGACTCCTTACCACTTACCAGCTCCTAGCTGCTGAGGTGGTGGACTATAGAGGACTCTTCCTAAGTTTGCACAATTCTACTCAGTTGAGAGTAGGGTGGTGATTTTCTGCCTGTGTAGAAGGCATGACTATTTTCCTGCCATGGGTCTATTGTCTTATGACAGAAGCTGCAGGTCTGGACTGAATCTTTTCATCTGTGTTGCAGGTCACCCTTCTGGCTGGGAACCCTCCCTCTACTGCTACCTGGATGTCAGTTTCTGGGCAACTTGTTCTGGTTGGAGCTGGACCAGCCAAAATAACTCCTCACGTGTGAGTGGGATGGGAACTTCCTCCCACCACAAAATGGGTGTTACTTTCCCAATGCTGATTGGTTTTGGACTGGAATTGACCCTACATGTTGCATTTCCAATTTCCTGACATCATCCAAATGTGCATTCCTGGGGTTTATTGTTCAAGGTTTTGTTGGATTTGTAAACATGTTGGTTTATGCTCTCGGAATGGAGAATCCTCTTACCAGGAGCTGGTTGAGTTCCTCCCAGTGCCTCTGGTCTTGATTGGAGTTAACCTCCTGATTATGGCCCAGTGCACATTAGACACTCTCCACACATTCCTCTTCCTTTTGGATTTGGAATGGATAACTTGTTCCACCCTTTCATTGCAGCACAAAACCAGCTGACTCCACTTGGGCAAAGAGTATACCTAGTTCAGATGTAGTCTGGTCTCCAGCGAGTGTGCTACCTCTATGTAGCAGTGGCACAGTCCATGGGTGCTCTTCAGGCACTTTTGAAGGGAGTTCATGTAGGTAATTTTACACCAGTCCCTCTACCTGCTCAGTGTGAGATGCTAGCTGTAACTGTGAGTAATACTATTGTAAATTGATATTTTCCTGCACTGAAAACATATTTCCAATAGATACCTCTGCTTACTCTTCCCACTTCTAGTGTTGTTTTTCTTGCCTAATCTTGAAGTGAAGACTGGGTTCAAACTGCATAGAGGGAATCATCTGCAATAGGGGGTGTGTCACACTCCTATTGGTGGAGGCTTGTTGCATGCTTGAATGCATCTGAGTTGCATAGTATTTACCTGGAATTAAAGACAAAGTTCAAGTCTAGTGATGAGTGAAAATGTTGCACTACTGGGCAGTCAAGTCAGGAATAGCTGTAACTGTGAGAGGGGTAAGTATCTATCAGAAATATATTTTCAGTGTAGAAAAATATTAACTTTAAACTGAAGAATGATGTAAAACCTCTATTCTAGAAGATATAATAGTAACACTCTCATGTTTGGAAATCTTGCATACAAGTACTTAACTTGTGCAGTAATAAAATTCTCATAGAGCATACTTCAACTCAAGAACTTGTTTACCAGTTTCAAATTTTCTTAAAAGACTTAAAGTACCAACTTTTAATAATATTTGAGCAAATATGAAAGACACTTCTCTCTCTGTTTATCTGCATAATAAAGGTACATCCTCGAACCTCATTGGAAGATCAGGATGAATTGTCTTCTCTCCTCCAAGTCCCCCTGGTGGTAAGTTGAATACAAAATGAGTATAAAGTTGAAAGTGATGGTTGTTAATGTTCAGAATGTTAATTACATTATTTAATTGGAATGCATAAAATGCTGATATTTTGTGCCATGTAATTTGTAAAATTAGTTACTTTAACAGCACTTGAGAATAGAATTTATTTATTAGCTGATAGGAAAAGTTCTGTACCATAAAGGCTGAAATGCTTTCTTAGTCTAAGAGTATCAGGTATTAGTTATCTTGTTTTTCTTTTTTCTGATGTATGTTTCCCATTTTCTAACATGTAAATATAAAATTATTGCCACATTAATCCGATATCGAGAAAAATGTGACATACACAATACCATAGCTTTGTAAACCATAAACCTCATAACAAAAATACATTTTTTTCTTATGTTTAGTGAGTTTTATAAAAATTCAAGGTTTCTAATAATACGATCCCAGACTCGCTGAGTACTGCAGTACCTGATAAAGATCTACAGTAGTTATCAATCTTGTGGTATTAACTGGCCCCTTCAGTAAGCAGAATTGTTTTGGGTCAACTTCATAGTAATTTTTCTACACACTTAATGAAATAATACTAATAAAATACGAATGAATGAACCCCATGTAAACACTAATAGTAAGTTAAGTAGAAAATAATAGCCATACTTTCTAGCTTTTATTAAGTTAAACCATGAGATCAGTGTCAGTATTTCACTCTCTGTGTGAGCATGCACTTAATATGCGTGGCACCCATTACCTTCATTTTTTTTTAAATAGAGCCTTTAGCATGGACAGTATGTCCTAAACTTAATGTACAAATATTTGGAAAAACTGTTTTTAACAGGGCCCTAAGTCACTATAAACGTCTTGTATATATCTTTTTAGCAGCCAAAGCATGATGAAGTCAAGCTGTCTGTAGTTTTAAGTCACTGTAAGTTTCTTGCTTGTGGACAGCATGGCTCAGTAGCATTGCTTTGGACTCATAGTCAGATAGTTGTGAGTTTAAAGTTTGCTTTCATTGTACTGTTGTGTCCGTGAGCAAGACACGTTACCGCAGTTGTTACAGTCAACTCGGCTATTAGCTTGGGCATAACCTGTGATGGACTGGCATACCATCTAGGAGGAATGTCCCCATTCTCATCTGCTTGTGCCAATTAAATCACAGTTCAGCACCAGGTCCCGTGTGTCATCTCAGCATGGAAGGAATTTCACCTTGATTTCTAACCACTTGTTTAGGTCTCCTGACTCTAAACCTTTTGTATGTCTTTTTAGCAACTTTAGTTTTAAATCACTGTAAACCTATTCTTTAAGTTTCATGATATCCTAAGTACTGTAAACATGTTTAAGTCTCATGACACCTCACGTCATTGTAATCCTTTTGTTTAGGTTTCATTACATTCTAAATCACTGTAAACTTCTTGTTTAGGTCTCATGATATCCTAAGTCACTGTAAACATCTTGATTAGATTTCATGGCATCCTAAGTCACCATAAACCTCTTCTTTAGGCCTCATGGCATCCTAAGTCACTGTTAATTTCTTGTTTAGGTCTCATGGTATCTTATGTCACTCTAAACATCTTATTTAGGTTTCATGACACCTTAAGTCACTGTAAACCTCTTGTATAGAGTTCTGTGACACATCCATTATAAGCTTGCCATTCATTTAAATGTCAGGAACCAGTGTTCTATGCCCTTCTTGTCAGATTAATGTAACACAAGTTTCTAATCAAAATAAAAAGGTCTACAGCAGTGTTTTTATTTTTCAAAACTTGACTTGGTAGGTGTAAATACTTTTCTTGTATGGATTTTTAATGTGGATCATATTACATTTCAGCAATACTGTGACATATTTTGATTTGAAATAGTTGAATCCATATAACAGTGATCACAACCATAGACCTTCTTTGTGATGAACCTTGGCAGTTGGCTGATTAAAAAACAAGATATCATTGTGGCCCTGTTCTCATTCTCTCTCAGCCAGTGTATCTACCTGTATCTGGATTTAATATAAGACGTAGCTCAAGAAGATTTGCAGTGAATCAGGGGTGCTGTTGATGGTTGATCATATGATTTACATATAATAATTCTGATACTAATTTTGATCCTAAAATGTGAAAGTAATAGAAATATAGCAAGTATACTATAATCAGATATTATTGTTTAACTTGATTTTTAAAAGCTATTGCATTTAAACCATTATTACATATCAAACACTTCTTAAAACTAATTTGGTGTAATGAAATCTTTGCCAATCTCAAACTGATTAAATTGTAAATATTTGATGATATTGCTTTTTTTTTAAAAAATAAACATTCATTCTGATATCAGGCAGGTACTGTGAACCGAGGTAGTGATGTCATTGGTGCAGGTCTGGTGGTTAACGACTGGTCTGCTTTTTGTGGTATGGACACAACCAGTACAGAACTGTCTGTGATTGAAAGTGTTTTCCGACTGAATGAAGCTCAACCTAGTGATATTTCTACTAATATGAGAGCATCACTTATAGAAAGGTTTGTTTGTTTTTTATTGTGTGTTTTTCCAATACATGACTATAAGGAAGTTTGTAATGATTTACTAGAGAAAAATGGGGAAAAAAACAAGTTTGAGATCCCGCAAAGTGTTTTTAAAGTTAGTTTGAGGAAACTACAGAGAAATAGCTTGAATGTGTGAATTGTTAATAAGTTAATAATAATTGTGGACAACAAGTTCTCTCCTGGTTTAAGTAGTAGTCAGATTGTCATTTTGTAGTTTTTTGGGTGCTAATTTTTGTGTAATTTATGACAGTACAAAGATCAGTTTTAACATTTTGACTCCATTATTTAAAAGTTGTCTTTACCCATACACTTATGACTTGCACTATCCTACCAAAAGTCATAAATTCCAAAAATTATTAGCCTGCATTTGGTCTTAATGACTGCTTCAATGCGTCGTGGAAAACTGTCTACTGATTTCTGATAGAAAGCTGATGGTATTGGCTCCACTCCTCCCTTAAAGCATTTGTAAGCTCCATTACTGAAGAGGGCCATCTTGGCCTTGCCTTAATTCTGCATTCCAGTTCATCCCAAAGATGTTCTATCGGGTTGAGGTCGGGGCTCTGTGCTGCAATGTTCCGATGTTATTCTCTTTAAACCACATGTTCACAATCCTGGCTTTGTGACATGGAGCATTATCATGCTGGAAGGTATAAGGGCCAGTACCATAAAATCTATGGATTGATGCACTATGACCAGTGGACCTAGTCCATACACGAGAAGTACCCTCAGACTATGATACTGCCACCTCCAAACTTCACTGTTGAGATACTGCACTCAGGTAATAAGAGCTCTCTAGGCATCCTCCATATTCAAGCACATCTATCAGACTGGAAGAGTGTGTAGTGTGACTCGTCGTTCCACAGGACAGATTTCCATGGTCCAGGTTCACTGTGCCTTGCCCGATGCCATTTTACAGTGTGCATTTGTTTTTGTTATCAATGGCTTGTGGGCTGCAGCTCTTCCATGAAAATTCATGGCATGCAGCTCTCGACTTGTCATGCAAACAGTTATAGGATTGTCTGTGGCTGCTCGCATCACCAAACACAGATTCTCATGAGTCTGATGGCAAGGTGAGGTAACCAGCCTTATCAAGGTGCATCAGCTCTTGTCAGTCAGTATTTTATGCCTGCCTGGTAGTTTCTTGAGCTTATTGTCACCTGTGGACTTCCATTTCTTCAGCACCTTGCCAACTGTCGACCTGGGAATGTTTAGTTGTTGCACAATAGTGCATAAAGACATTTTTCCCAAATGACATCCAACTATCCTTCCCTTCTGAAACTGTTAGCTATTTCTGAGTACTTATCGTTCAGCATACAAGTTCGAAATGACTTTTGAGCAAACTGTTGATCACCCTTATAGGCTGTGTCCCATGACTTTTGGTAGGATAGTGTATTCTCAGTATACAGTCTTGCTGGCAAAAAAGCTTGGTGCAACAAAGAAGGAACTGTAAGTGTTAGAAATTCAGTTTCCAAACTTCCAAAGAGCTTAGGTAGCCTACTTTTGATAAATCTTATTTGATTCTTGATCTTTTTAAATTGATTAACACAACTTCAATATTAGAAATTAAAAATAAAAAGTTTGGAAACCTGAATCTTGGCATTTTTGTGTACAGTGTTGTTTCTGGTGTAGGTTTTAATTAATATATACACACACTAAATTTTTCACTTCTCTAGTTGGAGTTATAAACTGAAAACATAGAAGCTTACATTAAATACAAAAAACTATAAAATGACTAGCTGAGAACTGAGTTTTGAGCAATATCAACTCTTTCTAACCCAGCTAGGTCAATGGCAGAGAAAGCCTCAAACTTTCCTGTGGAATGAAATGATATGAAACTTTGTTACTCTCTTAACTCTCTCAACACGGACTCAGTCAATTTGACCGACCACATGACCTCTTTGTACTCATTTAAAGTCTTTATAGATTTAATACTTCTAACTTTCAATATAGTGTGTATATCTTCACAAAATTTGTCAGTCTTTCAGTTAATATTATAAGTCTTTTACATACAAAATATCATATTTTTTAGTAAAGTATTTTTAATAAAATAAAATAAAGGTTTGTCCATGAATACATTTGAGTATTTGTTTGGAATAGTCCATGTGCAAAGTAATTTTAATATTAAAATTAAAAATACTTTTCCTAATCTCAAATTCCCTTTGTGTAATCCCCAGAACCTCCTAAATGCATTGCAGGCGTTTTTTGTTTTTTTTCTGTAAAACTTTATAGTTTAACTGTTATTTTCTCTACCCTATCTCAAAAACAGGATTGGTTAAACTCGACTGACCTCGTAATCACCATTTATCCTAAGTAGCTCTTAAGTTCATAACAGTATACATCTATTTATAATTAAATTTTATTGTTTTATTGCCTTTTGAACCGTGTTTAACTACTATCCATGCCATTATAA